AATGTAACCACTGCAGAAATTTTGACCTACCATACATAGCCATCTGTTGGCAGCTTTCCAAAAAATCACTTCCGACTACAGGGCAACCATTGGGACACATTTTTTAAAGCGTTGATTAACAGGGAGCAAAGAAAAAGGAAAAATCACGTGTACCGAAAATATTCTACAGATTATTCTGAATGATTTTAACTAAGGGACTGAGTCTAAAACCGGTTTCGAGCCAGCGATTTTGAAAGCGAAAATGGACTTCTAAATGAAGTTTTACTAAAATTTTTAAGTAAAAATATTCGCGGTTTCTATTTTATTGTTTTTCACAAAAGCTGATTGTCGATTTTAAATTATTTCTTGAAGATATGTATCGCCTAAAATGGAAAAGTTTACCATACAAGCACTTTAAGCTATATGAGGTGCATCGCCTTGGAAAGAAAAGGGAGCGAGCAAAATTCACCTCATAAACGCATGCAAATGCCCGTCAGTCTAGACCGGACGGTTAATCCGACGTTTTAGAACCAAATTCTGTTCAGCGATGAGGCCCATTTCTGACTTACTCGATATATAAACAAGCAAACTTTGGACGACGAGCAACCTGAAGAGATTCAAAAGCTGTCATGCAAGAAAAAACAACGGTTTGGTGGGCTGGTGGGTCCAATGGTTCATATTTCTTCAAAAATGATGTCGGTGCGAACACAACCGCCAATGGCGACCGTTRTCGCGCCATGATCAAAAGGTCAGTTTTTTATGATKKAAATTAAASTTCTTGATCTCGGCGACATTTGGTCCAGCAAGGCGGCTCTATTGGCCGCGATGGCAGGTCGATTGGCCACCAAGATCGTGTGATATYATGATCGTGAGACTTTTTCATGTGGGTATATGAAAGTCTAGTCTCTAACGGCTCTAAAATTTATAAATAAACATTTTTGCATTTCCAACTCGTTACTATTATAATTAAAATTTCCCTCAATTAGTCTAAACTCATTAAATTGTATTTATAAAATCATAATTTTCAAATAATACTTGCAATATAAATGCTAGTAGTACTAAAAACACAAGAAATATTTTTCTTCATCACACATACACAAATACACAATTTTAGTACAGGTATAAAAACAGCCGTATATTTTCTAGTCTGTACGTACATATGTCAATGTCACACAACAACGCATAKACATGACTCCACGTGTCCTTGAATTCGGCGATCTATTTGAATGGCGGGCGGGTCGGTTTCATACCGGTCGAATGTACGCGAGTTGCCGCCGCGAAAATAATCAATTGTCTTTGGTTTTCACCTTGTTTACTGAATTTCAATAACAAAAGCGCAGGTTAAATCGCGGTATTGAAATATTTTTAGATAGTAGCGAGTTCATCTTCAGCCGAAAACGGCGAAAAGTATCAAAAAACGGTGTAGGTGTTTACAGACATACCTACATGTACCTTCAGATTCAGATGCAATGTTTGCAGACACTTCTGGCGTCGCCAAAGGTATTTGCTTAGTTGAAATAAAACCGTTACTAGCCTCTAATGAAACTGTAAACCTTTACATTTACTGAAGTTTTACCCGGATGTAACGAAATTTCCAAAGGACAATAATACTATTTCTTAAAGATCACGTAGTTATAATACAGTACGATATGCGCGGATATTCCTTATTGAAAGAGAAACCAGTGAGGGGAAAAACAATCAGTTAAGGTAGATGYTTTTGCAGTTGAAGGTTGAAAACACCTTTTAACTAAGATTAGCAAACTTCCCAGGAAAGAGTGTGTACTAAAATTACTAAATTAAAAATATGTAAAATATGTATTAAAATAATGTATACTTTTTTAAATGCTACAAGTATGTACATATCGTTACCTAAAATGCAAAATAACGTAACACCAAAAAAAACGAAATTGTGACACTATTTTTTTGCTTACAATTCACTAGATCATATTACATAATCATATGTTTGTATCAAATATAAGATATATATAGTTAGATATAACCAATATACCATTTATATAACCAAAACTCAAATTTGGTTTCAATATGAGKGATTTCTATTATATCGTTATAGCTATAATTCCAAGGCAATTCGTTATTGAAATTACTACTTCTATTATACCAAATATCACGTTAACAAATATACCTGTATGCATGTGTATGTGAAAAGATTTTGTAATTATATTAAGTACATACAAAGTACAGGCTAAAACTTGCCTCTTAACCTGGAGCAATTAATATCATTCCTAGGTCTAGGTCAATTACAATAGCCGCTTGGCAACTGAATACCAAGATTCATAGTATGCACCAATTGCAGGCACTGTAACAGCAGGATTTTCTTAAATTTTTGAATAGTTGTTTCTGGATTTGTTTTTTTTTTTTTTTTGTTGTTTGTGAAAATGTATTTGGCATATAATATATTTTTGATTGCGGCAATTGCTTTGGTTTTGGCTATTGATCCAAAAATATGTATAAAGGAATGCAKTTAATTGTGACTGAGCGCTGCTTTCTTGTAAGTTGAGAGTTAATAAATATATATATATTTTTTTTGTGTTTTGCAATACAAATGCATTTATTGCACAGTAATCTGGTAATTCTACGATTAATTTCTTAAAAACTTTGAAATCTACTAAATTTTTAAACCAATTTCAAATCTATTAAACATATAAATTTCAATGAATGCCTTTCTTTTCCATTTCCGTATTTTCCACTGTAAGATTTCTTGCAAAAATTTGTACAACAAAATACTTGAAATAGTGCCTTTCAAAAATATAAGCTCAGGCTTACTATTCAATATAGTAAAAGTAGCCATCGGCAAAGCAGATCGTATAAAAGTCAACCAATAGCTACTTAAGAGTATATGTATGTATGTATTAATTGTGCTAGCATAGTGTCATAAATAGCACAGGTCTAAAAAGTAATTTTTTTTTTTTCACTCGAGGTCTTAGCAAATTGTGTTGCTTTCAAGTGTACAGATTACGACCTTATTCATCAAAATTTTGTTTACGCTTCTCTTTTTGAGATTTGATTTCATCAAAGTTATAACTATTTCGGAATGTGTGGCTTGGAAATATTTACTGTGGATAGTCGAAATTTTCCTAGATAACCATAAAGCACCATATAATGAAACAGTTATTCAAAAAATGCTGACAAACTTCAAGATGCTAAGAGTAAATAAGTATTCGCAATCATTTAGATAAATTTTCGGTTAATTTAGATACATAATTATTTWAAGAATCAGAGAGAGCTGTCCAACTAGAATCTAAAAGTGATGCAYGAAAAGTAAGAACTCATAAAAGATGTTTAATAAAGTTCGATATTTGTTTACTGCTAGGAATCCTATTTTTTCAGAACTAAAATGATATTATAAATAAATTATTCATTTAGGCATAAACKAAAGCGAATCTTACAGAACCATTGATGGTATCATGAATTATGAGCACAAATGCATTCAAAAGTTTAATCTAATATGAATGTTAATCTGATCGGAATTTATATATGCATTGTGCAAATAGTCATATTTTTCAAATTTTTGCGGCTAAAAAATTGGAATTGAAGTWGCGTAAAGCAAATTCTGATAAGAAAGCAAGAACGAATATATTAACAAAGTTTTGTACATATTAATATGTCTAGTAGACCTAGTAAAAGGAAATTCAAGTAGAGGTATTTTTTTTTTTTTTTTCAAAAGCCTTTTTTGACAGATCACGCCTTAGTTCAGTATTGTTAAGCATTTTCTCACGGAAAGACTTACGTCTGAACATCGTTTACAAATCGTTCAACTTTATTATGAAAATTCACGTACTTTACGCAACACCATCGTCCATCAAGGGACTCAGCATTCAGTACGGTTTGGTTATGAGTGAAGAAGCTTGCGATTATGTAACAATTCTAAGCTAAAGCTTGTCGGGAGTGTTCGGTGCGCTATTGAAAATTTACAAAGTATTAACTTCTCACAAGGTAGCTTTTTTATTAGAAATACATACATGGTTACCAAAAAAAAAAAAAAAAATAGTTTTAATTATTTCATATTTAAAAGTTGATTCTGAAACCTTATCTTCATGTATGTTGTCATACGTAACTGATATTTTGGAATATGACAGTCCTTGTTTTGACAAGCAAGCGCTATTTATGTTGTTAAGTTGTTAACAGTAACTTAAAATATTCTACTCTGACAAAAAAAATAGAATTAAAAACCGAGCAGTTTCACCACGACAATACAAACGCTCATATATCGACTGAAACAGCTGCATTTTTGAACACTCTAAAAAATTGTTGGAGGAGACTTCCACGGTATAATCTGGAGTTGGCAAGAAATTACTTCGTTTTATTCTCCCACGTTAAAAATAAACTAAAAGATCAATATTTTTCGACTCCTTTAGTGAATGTTGATGTGGCCAAAAGGCRTATTTTTGTAGATATCTAATTGGTTCAAATACGTGCAAAAGTATAGATTTAGTAATGGAGAATATTTTGGAAGACATTAAAGAGATTTTCGTTGATTTTAATTTGTTTTTATTCCTTAAACTCGAAATATAAAACACAAATCTGGTATATGAATGTATTCCAACCAGAATTTCACCACATTTTTATGATCAAATGGTATATGTAACTATTCTTATAGGGGTAACGACACTGCCAATTGCCCGCGCATATTTAGGTTATGTTCTATTGGCTTGGAAAGCAAGTGAGTCAAGCTAAAATTAATACTCTTACCGCTCTTACTATTTTTACAATATTCTCGCCATCGTCGATTAATTTTACGAGCTACCGAAATAAAAGAAAAAAAAAGCAACGAAGACATAGCTGCGGAGTCCATGGCGAACACAAGCTAATAGTTTTGTCAATTCTCACTTTGCATTGGGGCTCCGTTTTATTTTCGTTATATTATTTTTGGAGTTAAATATTTCACTTTTATTCATACATATAACTACAATATATGCAATAATATTTATATAAGCTCCTTGCCGTTTAATTTACCCCGAAAATATAGCGGCAATAATGCAAACATATTGAAATTTACTTACCCTGGAGCACAATTACTGAAAATAAATAATATACAAATATTAAACACTCGTTGACGATAATTACTTATTTTAAGTGCTCTTAAGAAAATATTATTTCAAAAGTAATAACCGAATGCATTGATATTATATATGCCGACTATTTAGTTAATGCGTGTGCGAATATGTCATAGAAATTAAGATAAATTATTAAGAGATAAGAARCTGGAATGAAATTCGCAAAACTATTTGTTTTTGTTATTCCTAAWATGTTTTAGTTTTTTTGTTATTGTTACTTGTGGTGCAGTTGTGAAGAAAAGACAGTGTTATTTTGTTGCTGYTTTTCTTAAACTGTTAAGTGCGAGTGGTTTTAGTGAACTATTTTCCGAAGCTGTGCCAGCAAATTAAGCTGGAGAGAATGAGAGTGATTGGATAATGCTAATGACCGCTACTTTTATTGAAATATAATATAATGGCAAAAACAACTATTTACGAATATTAGACGAAGGTGTCATATGAAAGAAGCTTCTATGAAAAATGCAATGAGAAAAATTGGCCGTAAAAAAAATTTGCTGAAAATTTTGAGGTGAAATGGTCTACCAAAACAACTAGTTATGGCAGTAGTTTGTTTCATATAAAATACAAAGTTGTCTGTCAGGGCTTGGTATCGATTCGCAGATTTTTGACTTATTAGCTATATACGAGGAACCCTTTGTTAGTCAGCATCTCAGAAACTTCATGCTGTAGAGCATTTTGAAAATTGGCAAATCTCGGCTTTTTCGTCCTAGTTCATTTTCGAACGAAACAAGTAAGCTTCACGCCAAGCTACATATATGATCTATGTACACATACATACATATATCTTCTGTGTACATACAAATGTATATATTTTTGAGCGCATCAGAAAAGATGAGAGACAGCAAATCAAATATCTCCTACCTTAAGCGCACCAAGATTTTGTTGCTTTTACATACGTTTGACACCAATGCACAGTTGCACGTCGGCCAAGTCCTACCAGGTAGCACAGCTGTTGTTTTTCACAGCAGGAATACCGCTCATATAGGTGATTAGTATAAAGACAACGAATAGCTGCAAAAGGAATCAGTAGAAAAGACAACGGAAATTAACAAACAACTCAAATTGAAATACAGTCTAATAGACTAACAGTCTAACCAAACCGAACGCAGTGATTTAGTCTAAATTCAAGCGGCTAACTGAACACAGCACACACACTAAACGCGAAATGGAAGCAAAAACACCAAGTAACATTCTAAATACTAGCGATGAACAATATTTAATTGGGCAATCGAGTCCAACGCGTGATGCGGGCCCTTGCCGCTTGTCGTGGTTCCTTGTGCGCAACGATCCACTTTATGTGCCCGACTATGGCGTCTATCGTTTAATACATGGCATGGACTTAATAGATCCCGATTATACCAATGCATATGCGGGTAATATCCTGAGTTATAATATCGGTACAGCAACAATAACCGGCAGAATGTTGGCCGTCGCTGATAATGTGAAGCTCGTGCAACGCGCCTTAAACGATTGGCTAAAGGAAGATCGTAAAAAATATCCAATATTCAAATCGAACATATTCGTACAATATCGTGCGGCTGCCAATCGTTTGGTGCACCGAATACTACATGAGGAACAGGCGGTGCCTTTGTCATCAACTGAGAATCCGCACGTTAGCGATATGGATATATTTGTGCGTGATGGCGAACGGTTGACGCAGGCCAAGATACTGTCACGTAACAGTAACGCCGACGAATTAATAAATGATTTGACTAGGGTGACTAGCAACATAACGGAGAAAATCTCCGGTAGCTTCGCATCGGTATGCGAAAGAAATAAAGCTGAAGTTTCGAATTTTACGAATGCATTTAAATTCAATTCTTCAATTGTTTACAGATTAATCTCGATGTGGACGCCACCACCGTACCGAAAAACAATCCATGGTTGCTAATACAGTTTAGCGTGAGTGTGCGTGATAGCATCTATTCAATTGTACGCTATAATGATACCATTGGATGGGAATATAATGCCTTTCCAGGCTTGCAAACATATCTACTGGTTGGCAAGACACTGTTTCAAGCTTTAATCATACACAAGTCGCACAGTTACAGTGCCGTGGTAGCAGCAATGGATACGATAATGAGTTCGTGTATAGTGTCGATGTACCCGCATTATGACGATCATGAGTATCGTAATCCGGAAATAGAGAAGGTATGTCGTAATTTGAAATGGGAAACCTTTGAAGAACTGCGCGCCCAACTAGCTGAAGTCTTAAAAAGCGCTAATGAGGARACAATATAACGCTTGAGTTTTGCGATGTGAAAGGAGTGAGTAATGTAGAGACAGAGAGGAAGTTAAAAAGCGCGAGAAAGAGAGAGCTTTACGACAGTAGTAAACTTCAAAATGCCACATAGTTGACATTACACATATTTTATATAAATATACAGGATTATTTATTTCAATCTCTTCCCCCTTAAAACACCATTTGTGCCTTATCGCTTGAAGACAGGATCTGTAAACTTTTAGTTTGAACTCGATAGTATTTGTAGCAATATTCCCACAAATATGCCAACCGATAACGCGGCTTCGGGTACTGATGATTAGGTAATCTCTTTGACTTCTTCTTTTCCGCTTTAGAATTTTTTACTTAAATATACTCGCTTRGCTTTAATTTTTTGTTTATTTTGCTAATGCTTGCAACTCTCCGCCCTTTTATACCTTTAGTATGAGGAAGCAGAAAGATATACGAAAGACTGTGTACAAAGCATTGAGATCCACGATGATGACATCATTAATTGTAAAGAAGCAACTGAACTTATAAAATTGGAGGCGTTTACAATCGATCAAATTAGCAATCAGATCGATGCAGCCGAAAAGAAGGCGAAAAGTGTATTGAAAAAATTGCAAGATATAAACCTCCGAAAACGGCTTGAAACAATGTATACATAATTATACAAACATYATGTTTATTGCTTCCTTTAAAAAAAATTTATTGTGTTTCTTTGCCACTACTTAAAAAGTATTATTGTACCATATTTACCTGCATCATTTTTMAATTATATTATATTACATATTTACATATACATATATATATATATATTTATAGTGTATCGAGTACCTATTTGCTCTAATTGCAATTTGAATAAATATTTTTTTTTTCCAAAAACATGATGTTGCTCTTAATTGTGGGGCTCTGGGTTAAGAAAGTATACTGTGGGTTTTTTGCCCAGTAAGACTTTTTAATTTAAATTTCATGCGAAAATTCATTCGTCGCATACTGCATTGACTCTTTATGAGATTTTCGCCAAATTTTCATCCAATATCGTGCCAAAACCACCATATTCGCCTGATTTAGGTCTGTGCGACTATTCCCTGGCCATTACATTGAGGGCATTAAACGGGAATCGCTAAACGCATTCAGGAAACTGACTTTAACAACTGTTTCGAGGATTGAACGAAACGTTGGCACAAGAGTATTGTGGACAAGGATATTTGTTTGAGGGGGACGTCAAGGTCTTACTACTTATTGCTCATTGTAGTACTTTTCTGTTATCATTTCTTATCTAATTAACTAATTATACTTATACTTTTTGAGAGACATTCTATAGTTTAAGCACAAAAATTGGTGTCCCTGCTATGCTGCCTACCGCTTTCTCTATTTGTAGATATATATTTTTTCTATATTCGTCTTTTCGACTGAGTTAATTATTTTTCCAACCGGATTTTAAGGAGTTACATGGGCTTACGGGTTTCAAAAATCAATTTTTTTATTGGCTTATTAAATTCTACATCACCTCTAGAATATTGTCTTAAATTTTTTAGTTAATCCGAGTAATAATTTCGGAGTTACAGCCTTGAGAACTTGTGTGCTCGAGGCCAGCTAGCCTAAGTGCGTTGTCTTTAAAGGCGTTTTTCTCGAAATTGTGGTTTTGAAGTCAGTTGGCCAAGATTTCTCGAGAACTACTCAACCGATCTTCATGAAGTTTTACAGGTCTTTGAGATACAATTGATTGAATGATTTTTTTCGATTACAACTATTAAAAAATCAAAAATAYCGCGAAGTTTTCACAGAAAACTTAATTTTTTTTAAATGTCTACCAAAAATCCAACTTTCTGTTCCTTTTTTTCTTCGTCCAAGCTCTAACTTAAGATTCTAACTAAAATTCATATATTTTTCACTTTAGATGATCCTGTAAGGAGTTATCCTGCCAACGTGGGTGCACATTTTTGCCTTTGACMTAATTTAAAATATTATTTCTTTGTTAATAAAGGTAGAAAAATTTCATTTTCCATATGAGAAAAATATTGTTGAAAAAAGTCGGTTTTTTACCCGTGGAAACAAATGTAACCCCTTGATAACAACTCTAGGGAAACCTACAACGCTAATAATCTACCGACAGATTACCACCCTCCTCGCCGAATTTCATATATGTAAAGAATGTTGAGACTGTTTACCAGGTCTGACTAAAGTCCTATATATTTAAATAGTTGTTAGATATGAAAGATCATAGGCCTGGTTAACTGCCTCAACGGTTTCCAAATAGACAAAAACCAGCTACAAATCAGCCATAGAGCGACATATCGCAGTCCAACAGCTTTTTTCCTAGAATAAGCGACTCACATATTACTCACTTTAAGAGCTAGCTGCCAGACAAACTGAACAATCGGAGTCAAGTTTTTCATTTGCCGAGATATCTTGATAAATTTTGAAATCCGTTCTTGTTCAAAAGCAACTATGTAATTTTCTAGTAAATTTTGCAGATCGAAACACTAGAGCACACAGCTGTCATACAAACTGACCGATCAAAATCAAGTTCTTATTAGAAATATTTTGTATTTGTGAAGGGTATTATAACTATTAGCGAGCGAAGTCGATGTTTTTTCTTATTCGAATGGGAGTTGGTGTCAAAAATTAACAAAATCTGGTGACATTTTTCTGAGATTATCGCTTGGTAACTGTACTCAGTTTTAAAAATGCCGACAACTTAAGGTCGTATGGAAAATTTAAAAAATATAAATCTATAAACCGGCCACTTTTCTTGAAGAAACATACTTCGCTTCTTCACTACTTACATATGAATTCCTTTCTAATATTAATTTCTGCTTTGACACACTTTCAAAATGTAAAAGATTTGAAGCTGACATTTTATAATTTTTCTTAGAAAATGTTTACCAACATAAAAAACATAAAAATAATACTAAAATTGCTCACTTGTGCACTTTTCTACTCTATTTTAGATGCCTTTCGCGTACTGACCAATTCGAAATTCATCACTATCGATCCGAAATATGATTACGGAGACAATGGGCTGCTCTCACCGTCCGGGCAAAAGATACGCCTAAGGGGTGGCGCCTATGAAACACGGACGAATAACGAGAATTGTCAATGTCCCAAAGAGACAGCGCCAATTATAAAACCCGAGAAGTCTCGCCATAAATTTCTACAACCCGGACAAGAGCGAGTAAGGCAGGAGAAGCATACCAAGAGTCCAAAGCCTAAGCCAAGTCAAATATCATTTGTTTGCGAAAGTGGACGCATCTATCGTATACTGCAGCATGGCTGTCATGAAGCAGGCGAAAAGGCAAAGCGAACACCGAAATATCATGTTGTATATCCAGGTGGCGAGAAACTGGAAGAAACGAAGAAGATAACGCAGAAAGAAAGGCAGAAAAAGCCAGAAAGGCTTAAGACGCCAGATAGGTCACGAGAATCCTCAAAGGAGCGTACACAATTGAAACGTGAATTGGAGAGCGCGCCAGTGCAGGAGACCGTAACACCACCCCCAATGACACCGCCACGCAGATGCGCTGAAAAATCGGTGGGTACAAGTGATGCGCCCAGCACAAGCACGCAACAACAAACTATGCTGGATATGATCAGCTGGAATCCGCTAAAGTATTTCGACATTAATTGCGGCGGCGCAGCAAAAACAGATCAAACGGAGATAGAGTCTTGTAAGGAAAAGCCGCCATGTCCACTAAGCATATTTCCATTTCCCACCATCCGAAAGACGGAGAAGCCCATAGAAACGCCAGCTGCACCGACCGAGCCGACTTATGCAGTAAAAGAGGAGCCGTTTTCTTGTCGTGAAAGCGAAGTGGAACGGCCGCCACAACCGCCGGCTGCACCGCCAAAAGCGCCGGATATTAGCAAAGASATTATCACACAGCAATGCAATCGCATTTACAATTTGGAACTACAAGTCAATSAACTGCGCCGTGAACTCGGTCACATGAAGACAGAAATCATACCGCCYGATGAAATGTTGCGTTGCACGGCGCTCGCTACAAAACTACGCGAACTATCCACTTTACTCGCCGAACTGAAGACCCAGCATACAGAAGCGATWGCCGCTGTTTTGTTAGCACAAAAGCAAGCTGCGACGCCAAAGAAAATCGAGTGCACAGCCGTTACGCAAACGCCGCGTCTACCCACACCGCCACCACCACGACCACGCCCAGTAATGAAAGCAGAGACGGTGCAAACCTACTGGAATGCAGAAAGCAAACTCTCCCAAACCAACGCCACGTTCGGCTGGCGACCTTTCATAGACGAAGCAACGCAAAGTTCACCACCATCCACTGTGCCGGTAACACCTAAAAACACCTCGAGCGTGCCGGTTAGCAGTCATGCCAGTTCGGCGGCCAGTACAGGTCTGCCCTGCGGGCATGGCACCGGCGAGCTACCGTTGAAGGAGTCACCCAGCTTCTGTCCTTACTGTCAGTGCAGCGAATACCCACGTTGTGCTTACATCGAACGCAATCTCTATGGCGAAATCATGCGGATCCTGCAACAGCACGCACCCTGCGAGGTATTGCTGTCAGTGCTGTTGCAACCGAATAATATATACCACATAAACATTTCGTTGACCAGCACCGGTGTGCCTTTGGGTTGCATCTACGCCACAGAACGCGCTATTAACGAAGCYGTCGATTCCGATGTCTTCAATCGTTTTCTCACCTTCTTCATCGTGGATGCGCGCATTTCGGTGCAACAGAAGGCTAAAATTCTGGCGCACACCTTTGAGTTCTTCAAAAATTAATGTGATACAAACATACTTATTGCACAAACACACACATACTATATRTAATGTTATTCATTGTGGCGTTGTTAGACTTACTGGCAATTGTGTATTCCGTTACTCGTTTAAAATCCTGTGAAAATGGTGGTGAAATATACTTGTGTATATATTTCTGTATTTAACTGAGTACGTGTGTAGCTTTTCAATGATGGTTTATAGATTTTCGATCTTAAACACAGACATATGTATGTACATAAAACATTTAAGACAAAAACACATCAATTTTCTATTCCATTAAATGGATCGTCGTCGCGGCTCAGTCGTTAACTGTAAACTATTCTTCTTATGTGTGGAATAGCTTCATAATACCTGTGTCTTTGAGTAATAAAAAGTTTCCAAAGTAAAAGCTTTTCCAATAGCAGACTCATTTGGAAGCAGTGATGAGGGCGATTACTCTCTTTTAAGTGTTTTGCGAGAGCGCAAAAGTCGGTGGTACCGTTAGAGACAGAGATCTTTGGCGTATCGTCGTTAAGGCAGTGCACTGAGAACTGGATCATGGTTGGGCCATCATGGGAAAGTTGCAAATGACTTACATTCAGGTATGATTGATTTATTTTASACACTATTTTTTATATGAACTTGTCAACTACTGTATACATTATAGCGGATCGAGGAATATTGTTTTTTTTTGTTTGTTTGATTTTTTTGAACAACTTTAAGAGACTAAGGGTCTCAAACCAAAAAAAATTAAATTAAAGAATTTAATCGGTTGTATGGGAGATACCTGATATAGTTAATAGTCCAATATGACTGAATAGTATATAAAAATGCATCTTCATTTTATTCGAATACCTCAAAAACTGACGAACAAATTTTTATTATTTCAAAAAAAAATGGTTTTAGACCAATAACTTTTGGGCAAAGTCTTTCTTTCGACTACTCAATACCATTATATAACCAAAATTCAAATTTTTTTTCAATATGAGTGGTTCCAATCTTATATTTTTTCCTTCGCATGTAAACTTATCACAAAGTGATGTTGCGTTATTTTGCATTTTAGAAGACGACCACAGCCGAAGGCCTCTGCCGCCAGTGCTGTTCGATATTTATTTGTAGAATATTAAGTATTGTACAAATAATTTATAAAAATAAAAAAATAAAAAAAGACGACATGTAGTATGTGTTATAAGGAGACGAATCAGCCGATAATTACATGTAGTTTGTAAGCTATAAGAAGCCCTTGTCCTTGTTGAGCTGTACTTAAAAATTAATGGTAACTTTAATTTTGATTTGCTTAAGGTACTTTTTACATTATTTTAAAAAGGATTTGCGGTTTAGATGCCTAATATTAAAGATATTTTCTAATCCAGTTCGAAAAAAAATTGTGTTGGATCGGATAATTTAGCATATCACACTTTTTAAACACTGAACAGGGTATATTAAGTTTGTTACGAAGTTTGTAACACCCAGAAGAAAGCGTCGGAGACCCTGTAAAGTATATATATTAATGATCAGTATATTGAGCTGAGTAAATTTAGCTATGTCCGTCTGTCCGTCCGTCCGTATATATACGAACTAGTCCCYCAGTTTTTAAGATATCGTTTTGAAATTTGGAAACGTCATTTTCTCTTCAAGAAGCTGCTCATTTGTCGGAACTGCCGATATCGGACCACTATAACATATAGCTGTCATATAAACTGAACGATCGGAATCAAGTTCTTGTATGGAAAACATTAGCATTTGACATGGTATCTTCACGAAATTTGACATGGATTACTGCTGAAGGTAATAACATAATTGTTCAGATCGGATTACTTTAGMATATAGCTTCCATACAAACTGGACACATAGTTACTAAAAGAAATACACCTGTGAAGAGTATGTTAGCTTCGGAGCAACTGAAGTTAACGTTTTTTCTTGTTTTAAAATGTCTTAAGCATATAAAACTTTTAAGTCTGCTCATATGTATGTGCTGTTTCATCAGAAAAACTAGGAAAACTGCTCAATCTACAGATCCTATTTTAAATTTTGGATATCCTTTATTGCAGAAGCATATCAGCGACCAGCTAAACTAAAAAGCAATTTAGTAAAAAAATTGCAAAACTTTATGCCTTTAAATACAAACATATGTATGTATAAAYATAATCTGCTAAATATAAGACTATATACCAATTCGTACTAGCTTCAATTTGAGCCAAACAATTCTACACAAATAGAAGACAAATGYCATTTGTGGAAATGCTGAAAGTATGCACGAACTCTTATCTTCTACATATTTCACATTTAATCCCAGGCTTATTAGTTAGTTACTTGCGAAAAATCGCTTCATAGCTATGATTTATGCGTTCCAACAACAAGTATTTGCCGTGTGCCATAATCTGCCAGCGGCGTGCTGCCACTCCTCTCTCGCAGTCATTTTACTACATCTCTTTACACTAATACCTTCACAACTTTACTGTTGCTCATCCCATTGCCATCTCCATAGAGCTACCCATCATATTTTTCGCTAACTTGCTGTCATCTATCATGTTCGCCGCACACCCTGTAGGGAAATGGTGACTCAATTGCAGTTAGTGCAATGTCCTAAGAATTTTTTCTTTGCCCGAGCTAATGTTAGATGAAAGAGAGAGAGAGAGAGAGAGTGTGAAGTTGTAATCACGCTTTTCTCCTGTTGATTGTACTCAATWGCAGTTATTTTTATGTTATAGTTACTAGTTTTAAACTAGTTAGAATACCCTTTTTTAAGTCATCTTTTCCCTACTGAGTACAATAACTGCGCATGTATTGACGGCGAAATGCCACATAAAATTGATGGAGTGTCAGTTCCGATCAATGGGTTCGTTTTACTGCTGAAAAAGTGCCTACCTAAGCGTACACTTATCATGCAGTGGCCACAACTGGCCGAACATTTCGGGATTTCCCGCTTATTCATGGACATCTCTGACCAAATGTGCGCACATACACTTACACTATTGTTTTGTGTTGTCTTGTTTTGCTATTACGGCTGAGACAGCAAATTTCCTATTGACAAATGGTCTTGTAAATAATAGTTCAGCTGCTCTTAATCCCTGTTCGGTATTTACCTACTTAGTATAGCGGCCATACATACATACTTGGGAAAATCAGTTGGACATTTCGTAACTTACTTTTTCAGTTTGCTGAAATATTACAACTATACTAGTAGAACCTTATTAGTCCCACTAGCTGTATATTCTTAGGAAACGCCTATTTCAAATAGCCTGAGGTTATTGGAAGGCACACTCTATTGTGACAAGCTTAAGTTGTTTTTGTTTGATATCTGCTCACAGGAATATTCTTAAAGGAAAGGTATAAAAATGGCTAGTTAGTTCCTTGTTGATCTTTCACTGGTTTTTTCTCTCTCTTCAAAAGTACAGTCGCTTCAAATATTTTCAGTTGGAAATGTTGATGAACTGTTCTTTGTTTTCACTGAGGGAAATCACACCGCCAAAGGTGAGAGAGCTACATAACATATTATGGACAAATACATAATATATGCTTATGTAAATCGGAGAGAGAGCTCTACAGAGAAAAGTCAAAATGTAAATTGCCTTCTATCTAAATAAGTTCATACCTACGCAATTGACTTCACATTAGTACACTCAAAATGATCGTTATTAGACAACAACATGACGATAAAAATTGGTATACTTGTAACATATTATAAAAATTTGAGTGAAACTATTTACGAAAAACATAATTTATGCTATCACTGCAAAAAGAACTATAAAATTTCTTTCATTTCATAAAATCAAAATTGACATTTTTCGAGAACGAAACATTTATGAGAGAAAAATCTCGCTCTACGTCAGAATTTAGAGCCCATATCAGTACAAAATCTCGAGTTGTTTGATATTAAAGTTAGAAAGAAACACAATTTTTCATTCTTTTAATATATATTTTTATAGGTACAATCATTTGAAGCCAATATTGTTTTCATAAACTCTGATATTACTATATTTAAGCTGAGACTACCATATTTAAGCAGATYACATAACGTGGTACAAAGTAAGAAAATTCGAAAAAGCATTGTCATGTCTTCAATCAGCTGTTTTTGTCATTCAGCATCAGCTGTTATCCTGGGTTGAATAACAAGGGCATGCTTCTCTAAACAAATCCAATAAGATTCTTTCTTCAAAATACTCCACTTGGAAAATATAACAAAAGCAGTTGAAACTGAATTTTCTTTTAAGATTGAAATCAGCTATTTCGCTTCGTAACACTTTTTAAATTTTAATACCTCAAATCTTATTAATTACAAACAATCATTCACTGGGGTTGGAACCATAATTGCTTGTGATTTATAAACCAATTTTTGGCGGAAAAGATTCGAAACCATTGCCAAAATTGCGCTTAATAAATTTATGTWACAATTGTAAACGGTATCGCCATCTCGTACTTTAACCATGCTTCCATGTGATAGCATTTTGAATTCCTTCTTATTAATTTGCCTTCCAATAGTTGAATCAAATGTGAAGGAAGATAAGAAAATGAAACTGTGCGAAGATGGCTCAAATTTGTCAAAGTGCGAGCGACCACCAAAGTGACCACAAGAGGACAAAGCTACARAGCAGATTGTTTTGTGGTTTGTCGCTTGAGCTCTTTTTGCTATTTCTGGTKTTAGTTGTTTTCTTCTCTACCAATTTGCATTTTTTGTTTTTAATAAGCTATCACACCACGGCATAGCCTACTAAATACAAATTGTTCAATTCCTTTCAGGATCTTGTGAAATTTTATTAAGGATACATGGTAGTCGAATGTCTTTTCCTTCGTAGTTAACAAAATTATTTGAATATTGAMATAGCTCTAAAGAATCAATCTCAATGTTTATATTGCTTTGTTCATTAATTGGATAAATACCAAGGCATGTTAAGCGCACCTTTCGAAATATCGAACGTTTTATCTCAAAAAGCAATGTAACCGCTCACCTCGCTTTGCCGCGTAGCTCTGACATCCTATAGCATGGGTCTTCGCTTGAACTATTATTGACTCAGCTTGCACTTTGGCATCAACCTAGGAGSGCCGGGTCTGTGAAATACTATACCGAAAATATCACTCCATTTCTGAGATATGGTACATATTTTAAAGATATGAGTAGTAGTAAGAAATATTTTGCAAGCAATAATATATGTTTTGAAAAATGTATGCCAATGTAAAAAATATTTTCAACTTGTCCATTGCGACGCCATTTCCGGTAACCTTTTGGGAAAACCATGTGCACGAGTATGCAAGATAACTCCTTACAAGATCATCTAAAGTGAAAAAAGAGGTGTCCGAAACTACTACCTTAACCTAGAACTACAGACGAAGGAAAGAAAAACTGAT